TTTAAAATAAGAATAACAAAAAGCAGTGAACACTGAAAACAAATTTCAGTATTACATATAGATAGTACAAGATTTAAATTAGGCAATTTGCTTTTTATAGTGTTCTCTGTACAGCTGTTAAATATTAGTGAAGTTCTAAAATGAAACAAAAAGATTGTAAAATAGCTTGTAGAGATATGAAAACAGCTGAGATTTTATCTAACTGAAATCTCGGTGTGGTTTGTAGCCTAATCTCATATTTTGTACTTGAACATGACACGTAATCTTCAAGTCTTCTCTATACCAATCTTCAGATTCCATGTTCTTCTATTCTAGTGACATTTACTCCTCCTTTGTGCCACATGCAAAAGTAAAATGTAACCTCTTATCTGTGCTGCTGTTAATTACAATGTTAAAATAGAATTTTGAAGTCTTTCCTCCAAACCGTGTTTTTAACATTTCTTCTTCATAAGTCCTGGAACTCCAGTTGTAAGAATGAGCTTTACACTGCTGCTGCTTCCATCAACATTATCAGAGGTTTGCCTTGTTTGAAAGGAACATAAAAAAAAAAAAAAAAGTAATGCAGTGCATTGGGACGCCAAGAGGCTCGATTTGAAGGAAGTCTGAACTGTCAGCTTGTCTAAACAGACCGCTTCTGCCAGCTTTTGTGCATGTCAGGTTAGGTATTCTGGGGCGGAGCTACCACATTCTTGTGCAACCATCACCAATGAGATGCTTCTGTTCATTTGTTTTTAGGGTTTAAGTGAATAATAGTTTTGCACAGCTAAAATGTTTATAAATACTTTTTATTTAATTAATTAGGAGTTATAAAATGAAATAGACCCAAAAGAAAGCTGCTGTGTATTTGATAAATTGTTTGGGGTTTTTGTTGTCTGCATTGAATTTAACTATTGCTTAATGTTTCCTGGCTGGTTTTATTGGAAGAAAAATGCAACACTTACACAAAATTAGAAGCAGATTGTATTTCACCCAGGAAGAATGTGTGCTTGTCAGAGACTATTGCAGATTGACTTCTGTCAGTAAATTACATTGACAATTTGAGGTAGTGGAATTCACCTCATTTGCACTCAATATCTGGGACTAGTAATTAGGAGCACATGCTAACACACTCATAGCTGTATTTGTAAGCATACCTTATACAGTGTCTCGGTGCAATGGCTAGGTTGAGAAGTTAAATGTTAACCTTTTCTGAAAATATCTTATATGTATGATGATTAGACCACTATGACTGTTAAGCACTTTTGCAAATGCCTTTTGAATGTTTTTCTTGCCCAATGCATGAATTCTTAGAAACTGGGAGCTGCCAGCAGGCTATCTGGGAGCACAGTGGAAAGGCACAGGCATGAAGCACACAGGTCTGCTTTGAATGAACTAAAGCATTGCCCGTGTTTGATCAATCCATCTTGTTCTATTCTTTTACACCAGTTATTGAAGTGCTGAGCCTTAACTTTCCTACAGGAGTAATAGATTTATATTATTAACTACACAGCAGCTAACTTCAGGGCTTTAATTTCTAAGTTTAAATTAAGATATTCATTTAAAGTGAATATATAAAATTTCTGAAGGGAGTCTCATGGTAAGGGGATGATATGTTGGAATTTTTTTTCTTAATATTTTTTAAGAGGCAGTAGTACATTGAGGTTCTTTTGCTTTAAGCTAGTTTACTTCAGTTTGAAGACTGCTCTGTATTTTAAAAGCTACCTTGTCATCTCCCTTACTACTCTTGTATTCTGGGATTGGTGTAGTGGAGTTTTTTTGTTTCATTGGTTTTTTGCTTGGTTTTTTGTGGGTTTGGTTTTTCTGTGAGTTTCTTGTTCAAGGTGGGTTCTTTTTCTTTTTCCTTTTTTTTTTTTTTTTTTAAAAACCACTCTGGAGCATATAGCACATCTTCCTTTTAATGTGGCTTGATACACAAATAAATGCTTTTGCACTCCTGTTTGGTTATTTTTTTTCTGAAGCTACATCGTGGTTATGTTTGTGTATAACATGAATTTGTGTAATAATGTGTAAACTTATAGTACATGTCTTATATGTGAAGAAAAAGGTGGTGTGTCCTTGGCTCATGGGACAGATACAGTAGGCAAAATGGGGATTTTGGCGGCTGAGAGACTTATTTGCTTTGTTTATAGAGAACCTCTTCTGGTGAGGTTTTAAGGCTTGGAGCTGTGGATTTTAACTAACTTTTTTGAAAACTCAAAAAATTTTCATTATTTTCTTTAATCCTTCATGGCTGTGGAATTTTGAATTCATTCAAGCTGTGTGGGTTCATGCTTGACAAAAGGGAAGAGGCCTGGCCCACCAGAGCATCAAAATGCCTTTTTTCTTTCCCAAAGCCAAGATCCACTTGGGGTATTATATTGCTTGCAACAGGATTGACTTTAATCATAGTTCAAACCAATTTGGGGACAACAGCATGGGAAGCCCTGTGCTAACTAGTTCTTCATCATACAACTTTGATCAAATCTGAATTTGTTCTGTTCTTGCCATGAATGCTGAAGTAGTAGCTTTGCCCTTTCTGAATGCATACAAGTCGCAGGGCCCAAAAGCCCTTGGCCATACATAAGAATCTCTTAAGAGAGCAGATTGATTGCCAAGTATTTGCTATTGTCTGGCTATCATATAGGTATGTTTTGTGATTCTTAGGACAGGACCTTCAGATGAGATGATCATTCTTGCTGTGATAGGAAGAATCCCCAAAAGTGATGGCCTGTAAAGGCCTTCACTTACCCAGTTTTTCTGCATAGCTCCCAGGTGCTCACTGCAGTGACCAGGAATCCAAATCCTCTGATCGTTTCTGACACCACTTGGAATTCCTTTTTCCACATGAATTCCAGTTTTCAGGCTAACGGAACCACAAGCTGTTGTTGTGGTTTTCTTTTTCCTGCTGCTTCCACCATGATGGATCAGTTCACTCCTAAAGAAGGTGGTGCACTTTTTCTCTCCCTCCCCCCCCCCATATTTTTGTTGTGTGCTTTTATGTTGTGTTTTGTTTTTAGATAAAGATTATGTGAAAGGTCTTGGAGATGTGCATGTTCCCCCACTTCCATATTGTGACACTATTTGTTCTTAAAACTCAAAGTCAGCTAGTCTTCTGCATGTTCACATGGGCCTTAAGAGTCCTCTGATGTCCGGGAATTTTTCTGAAAATAATGACCTAACTCTTAAGTAATATATTCCTTTTTCACAGAAAAAGATGAACAGATAAAGTCTGTCTTTCCACAGTTTTTATAAATGGTGATATATATGTTTTTTTATTACTTAGAAATGGCAAACTGAACTTGTACTCCCTACATTTTCTCAATCCAGTAGGCCACAGGCCAACCGTACCTTCTTTGTAATACTGAAGTAAGTAGGCACTATGAATATTCAGCTGCTCAAGTAGTCAAAATGCATTTTTAGGACTGTAACTTTAATTTTTAAAATATTGTTAGTGTGTATTGGAGCAGAAAAATGTATGGGGCTGATGTATCGTGGTGCTAACAGAATTTTAATTTGCTTGAACAATGATGTGTAAGGTCCATGTCTTGGTTTTGTACTCAGAATTATATGTTGTACATAAGTTGAACATGTGCTTTGGCAAATTGTGTGTGTACCCCTGTATGTAATTAATATAAAATTTTAAAATGCCATTCAGTGAATTTAACCAAAGTAACTGCAAAATTTGAGAAAGTTGGTAAGAGTGAAAATACTCCATAAACTTTTCAACTTCTGCTTTCTGAATTTTAAGCTTATGCGTTGTTTTTGCAGACGAATAACTTTAATGTGTTCATAATAAATCTATTCCATGTATGCTAAACCGTGAACATGAATAATGTATATTTTGATGCTTCATAGCCTTATAACAATGTAGTCTAGCATTTTGAGTGATGTTTATGAACAGGTTTTTGGCTTATTTGATATATGCCATAAGACAACAGTACGTCTAAAAGCCACACTAAAACTTCTGGTGTGACATAATATAGTTTGCATACAGAACTATAACTCGTTCTGTGTTTTGATAAGAAAACGCCTGTATGTAAAGCTGTATTGATGTTAGGAGTGCTTAGTGGAAAGTTGACTCAATTGTATTGAAGCTATTTTGGGGATGTTGGTAATCCTTTACAGTAGCAGATAATGTAACAAATTAGGCATTTCATAAGCCTTTCATATGTAGCACATGGATAATTTTTCAAAGATTCATGTTTTTTGAGAGCCTCTGTGCAGGAATTACCACCAGAATTTGAGAACACTTCCGCAAAGTAGTTGTGATGTAAAACTGGGGGAGGGAAAGGGAGAAGAAAAAAAATTCCTCCCTCATCTCCAAACTGCAAGAAAGAAAATTTATAAAGGCAACAACAATGACGTGATGCCTGTGACAAGTTTTGGGTTTATGGTGGTTTGTTTGTTTGGTTTTTTCAAAGTGAAAATAAGCGTAATATAGACCCTATGGAGCCAGAAATGTTACATCTTTGGGTTAACAGTTAAATGTTTCTAGGGCAATTGTGTAAACCAGGACAACCTACACTAAACACCTCAGACCCACCAAACCAGACTGGCTGCATCCCAGCTGCTGCAGGTGCTGGCCCAGTGCCACGTACTTGTGCTGTGGGAATTTGTTGGAGAACTACCAGAGAACCAACCCACTGTCATATCAAACAGGACTGTTCTAGCAATTTTTTTCGGCATAGATGATTGAATGACATGTTCTCAGATGTATTAAATTTGCTACTATAAATATGGCCAGTATTTCCTTCTCTGAGCCATGTTGATTTTTAAATGTTTTTATTAATAGAAATTTATTGTAGAGTTTCTAAAACAAAACTTGTTGGACCATTCTGTAGTTGGTATCTGCTTTTAATACTGTCTTTCCACTAAATTTTAAGTAAATAATTATTCTCAGTTAAGCCATAGGTGCATGAACATGGGGCACACGTGTGTGTGTTTATACATGGGCTCTGTGTATATGCATACGCAGAACACATATTTTTCTTAGTTCTTAAACAATTTCACTTTCTTTTCAGTGGGATGCCATAACTGAGATGGATGAACACAATCGACCCATTCATACTTACCAGGTATGTAACGTGATGGAACCAAACCAAAACAACTGGCTTCGAACAAACTGGATCTCCCGTGATGCTGCACAGAAAATTTATGTGGAAATGAAGTTTACACTGAGGGATTGCAACAGTATTCCATGGGTACTGGGAACCTGCAAGGAAACTTTTAATCTCTACTACATGGAGTCAGATGAGTCTCATGGAGTAAAATTTAAGCCAAACCAGTATACTAAAATTGATACTATTGCAGCTGATGAGAGCTTTACCCAGATGGACTTGGGTGACCGCATTCTTAAACTCAACACAGAAGTTCGTGAGGTTGGGCCAATAAACAAGAAAGGATTTTATCTTGCTTTTCAGGACATTGGAGCATGCATTGCTTTGGTCTCAGTCCGTGTTTATTACAAAAAGTGCCCTTTCACGGTCCGTAATTTGGCTATGTTTCCTGATACTATTCCAAGGGTTGATTCTTCCTCTTTGGTGGAAGTACGGGGCTCCTGTGTGAAGAGTGCTGAGGAACGTGATACTCCAAAGTTGTATTGTGGAGCAGATGGGGATTGGCTTGTGCCTCTTGGACGATGCATCTGCAGTGTAGGATATGAAGAAGTGGATGGCTCCTGCCATGGTAAGAAAACATGGTTTGATTTTTTTTTTTAATTTTTATTTTTTTTAATTAAAGAAAAAAAAAGTCTTAGATGATAAATGCACAGCATATGGCTTGTTGTATACTGGCAATATTGCATCCTTTTTCAAGAAATGCCTCTTGTCCAGAAATAAGCAAGGCAGTTTGAAGTCGTGATATTGTGGATTTCTAAGAAAACATTTAGCTACTAAAGATGACCTTCTTTTTGTCTAACTGTAGGTGCCCGCAATGTACATGTTTATAGAACAGCTAGTCACCTTGACTCCTTCTGTAGTTACTGGAGATAAGTGCATGCCTTGGAGCAGGATTTCTCTACCATGTTTTAGGTATCTGTAGCAAGATGAGATGAGCAGTGAATGAAAAATGTCAGTTTTTTTCTTCCATATGCCTAAAAAGGGAATCTAGGCAATTGACTCAGATCTTTACTATAAGCACATAAAGACAGAGGAGATGAATTCACCTGAAGAGATAACAGCATTATCCATGCTTCTGTAAAACAAAGGGTTTTAAAATGCCTCCATGAATAACATACATGTTGATGTAGTAGAAAATCAGTAGGTATCAAGTTCAATTAGAGGCGTTTGAGGCCCTACTCAGACTTGCTGCAAAAGGTTTAAATCAAAAGTGCTTAAAATGGTTTCATCACAACATATAAGTAGTGATATATAGCTACTAGTGTTTTTTCACAGGGACTAATGTACAAATGTAGTAAGACAGATTGTGAAGCTGATGTCAGTACATCAGTTTGCTGAATGTTGTTTGCCACCTTCCTGTATCTTAAGAAATGTGTATCTGAGGATAGCTGTGCTTGGTGATTTCTCTTCAGGAATTTTGCAGAGACCATACTCTGTGCTGGTATGTGTAGAACAACATAGCACTGCACCTTGCCACTGTGACAGAGAATTAAGGATGTTTTAAATCAAGGTTTCAACTTGGTGATGACTACAAAGGGAAATGTATTTTCTTCCCTTACCAGCCCCTTTCTTTCATAGGTAGGACAGTGAACACATGCAGGAGCAAAAAGTAGGTCTTCTGCACAATCTAAGTGGTGTTGTGGTTCATTAACCCTCTCTCTGGAACTCTTGAAAGAGTGGTTGCATTTAACTTTGTGATAACTGGATTTCATGCCCAAATTAAATTCAGATTACTTAATCTTTTGTGCTGTTTAGAACAAGAATATATTGCTAAAACTTTGTAAATGCTGTGGTATACTTGAGTAAAGCCTAGGACTCTGAGGGTTTTGTGGATTCAATTTGAGACTGCTATTCATGGAGAACGTGCATGTTGAGACTGACTTACCACCTGCCAGGACTGCTGGATACATGACACTTAATTATAAAAGGCGTGCTTCTTTTCACACTGCAGAGTTTATTAGTTGTTTCGTTAGCTTCAGAAAGAGTTACTAAAGGATAAGTGTACTCTGTATGTTCTTTTCTATTGTACATAATAGTTTCACAACAACTTGAGAATAAGGTACTTTTCATGTAGTAATGGCTGTAAAGAAAGCCTCAGTCACCACTGAGATACTAGTCTGCTTTGGTTCAACATTTGCTTTGTAACAGTATTGCAGTTTAATCCTAGCAAGCAACTAAGCACCACCCAGCTGCTTGCTCATTCCCTCATGGTGGGATGGGGGAGAGAATCAGAAGAGTAAAAGTGGGAGAACTCATGGATTGAGATAAAGATAGTTTAATAGCGAAAGCAAAAGCCACATACACAAGCAAAGCAACACAAGGGATTCGTTCCCTGCTTCCCATGGGCAGGCAGGTGTTCAGCCATCTCCAGGAAAGCAGGGCTCCATCACACGTAACAGTGACTTGGGAAGACAAATACTATTGCTCTGAATGTGTCGTCCCCCCCTTCCTCCTTCTTCCCTCTGCTTTATATGCTGAGCATGACATCATATGGTGTGGGATATTCCTTTGGTTAGCTGGGGTCAGCTGTCCCAGCCATGTCCCTCCCAACTTGTGCACCCCCAGCCTGCCTGCTGGTGGGGTGGGGTGAGAGGCAGGAAGGGCCTTGACTCTGTGCAAGCCCTGCTCAGCAACAACGAAACCATCCCTGTGTTATCAACACTGCTTCCAGCACAAATCCAAAACACAGCTTTGTACTAGCTACTGTGAAGAAAATTAAATCTATTCCTGCCAAAACCAGCATAAGTGAAGAGCCCGTAAATTATACAAGTGATGTTGCTATTGCCCAAATATTTTGCTCAAGAGCTCCTCAGTTTTGATGGTATTAGGCAAGCTGCACAGAAACCTTGGACAGTACAGAGCATTAAAAGCACACTATGCATTGTAATCAGAAAATTAAATTCTTTGTTGTCTGATCTTACTGGCATTAATTATCAAAATATACTTATTGCAAAGATACAGTTTTGGCATTGCCGTTACTGGAAGCAGTATAATTTTTCTACATAAGGTCAAAAGGTTTCTCTCTTAATGGAATAAGGATTTTCTTCAAGACATTAACGCTCAATGAATTTCTGTCCATTATATGAGTGAGTCATACTCTAGAACTGTACATGAGCAATAAAACTAGCAACCAAAGCCTTCAAAAAGAGTCGGGAAACTTTTCTGCTATGCATTGACTTTGCTTGTTTATTCAATTGGCAGTCCAGTCTGCTGCTGAACAGGTACCTCCTAAATTAAATGGAATACCTAAAGCCATGAGTGTTTGCATATTCTTAGCTATTTGCCCCAAGAGTAACAAATTATTATTTTAGAAAATTATAATATAATAGAGGTTCCATATGCATTTTTGAAGTCATTTTCATAGGTGTCCAATGTTGTCCATTTAGTCATCTTCAGTGGATTTTAGTATTAATGCTACTTTTTGTGATAGCCTTTCAAAGTCTTTTGCATTCCTTCATGAATGTCAACCCTAAGGCAAGCCCAAATGTATATGATGCTTTTGGAACTAAAGAGCAACAATTCTAATTTCACTGATGCCCACTCTCCAGCTCTTGTGCTTAAGCCGTGGGTTAGAAGGGTTACTGTCAGGGTGGCCACGTTTCCCTTTGTGCCAAAGCTGCTGGTAGAGATGCATGCTCGGGCAGCTGGGAATGCATTTTTACAATGTGACTGTTTTGAACATTGGGAACTGAACTGAGATCACGACCTATGTTGATAGCAATCTTTCATGTATCCATAATGTTCTGTTTTGAGACTTTGCTTCTTGGCTGAGACATGAATCAGAAAATTAGAGTTTAAAAGTTTTGTCACTTCTCACTACATTCTGAACTAATTGTTTCATCCCCACTAAATCATAAAATGCCTGAACATTACTACCTTTCTAAGGGAAAATTTGTAAAATTTACATTTAGCTTGTTTTCACATAAGTGGAGGAAAGGGGGGTAGAAGAGGTGCTATTGCATCTTAGGCTGCTAAGAAGACCCAAAATGTATTTATACAATCTTCATGTCTTCTAGGTCCCTCCCCCAAATCTCAACCCAAAGACCTTTTTGTCCTTCCTATTCCACCGCTGGAGTGACAAATTTGAGTCTTCAAAGTATTTGATGCCGTTCTGCCAGTGCTTCTCATAGACAGACTCTGTGACATACTCAAAACTGAAAACTATTTATTTCTTCTGCATGAAAATAACTTTCAAAATAATTACTTTGTATCTTGAAATCTCTTCTGGCAAGTAATTGGGTGGTGGGCAACACTTGCTAATACTTGACTATTTTTTCCTACTTGCAAATGGTGTCAAACTTAAAATTATACACCAGCACGTGGCTCAGCAGGGAATGATAAGCTTTTCATGGCAAATATAGCTTATCTGTCACAGAATTTAAAAAGTAAATTTCTGTTTTGATGTTTATGGAGGTACACACTCTCTATTCAGGAAGTACTAAATGGCATAAGGAATGAGATTCTGCCTTTGCCACTACTCATAGTTTCACAAAGCAGCACAAATGGGAATAAAAAAGTCTTTGATCAGTTTTACCACCGCTGTTAAAATCATAGGGAGGCAAGTAAAGTAGATTTTGGCAGTTGAAAATAACCTAAAGTGGGAACACTTCCGTTATTTCAATATGCGTTGGTTTTATACGTCTGTCTTTGTGAATCTATTGGTATTCCCTATCCATTGTATTTGCTTTTAAAAACATCATTTCAGAGCGAAGGTGTCAGAGAAGAATTTGCAACCAGATTAAAGTATCCATACTTATTAAATGTATTCCTCAATTTGTCCAGAACAGTTCAGAGACACATTGATAGAGAATTTTTCATTAATTTGGGAACTGTCTTCCTTTTCTGAAGTCAGTGGGGAGAAAAAGTCACATTGGTTGCAAGAGCCTTACTGTTATTTGTGTCACATACATTTCTTAATGGCATAACCTGAAAAAATACCATCTTCTCTGATTGTGTAAACAATCTATCGCTCTTTGATTTGCATCTTTGAACCTCTTTAATCTACTTTCAAGATTTTTTTTTTTCCCCTCAAAATCCTGAAATAACAGCAGCATTCACATATTCTTCTGTTTCTTCAGGCATTAATAAATGAATTAGTACCAATAATTTGGCAATGTTAATCACAAATGGCTATAGTACGAAGTGCTTGCTTTGCTAACTCATTAGTACCAGCCCCGTTCACAAGTCGTTGCATAGGAGGAGGAGATGCTGCACAGGATTCTAATAAACATCTATTAAAAGTAGCAAGTTCAACATTGTATCTTCTCTGAATGTTAGTCCAAGACAAGAGTTGTGCTAAATTTAACAAACATGTAAGATATACAGGCTTTGGGTGGTTTGGGGTTTTTTTGTTTGTTTGTGTTTTGGTTTAGTGTTTTGTTGGGGTTTTTTTTTTTTTATAGAAGGAAACAATCATGACCAGGAACGCTATACAAACTTAATTATAACAGCTCAGTTCTCTTTAGGTGTCATACAGTAATAATTGAGTGACTGTTAACTGAAGTCCGATTCTTTAATGATTTATCAAAAAATTATCTGAATTACTCAAGGTTAGCAATAAATTGCAGA